ATGAACGTGTGGGCGAACGACCTCCCGTTCTCCACTCCCCCGGTCTCGAAACGGCGAAGGCCTCCTCCGAGCCACAGCAGGCTGAGGTCCGATGACCGTGGCGGGCCGGTGCCCCGTTCCCCGCCGATGCGCAGACGACCGTCGGCTTGCGCTTGAGGACTTCGTAAGCGTGAATACTTGTGGCAATCCCCAGGGAGCAGATGTCCATTTCGTCCGCCGTATTGATGGGAACTCCCAAGTCGTGAGCCAACGCCAGCAGCTGCTCCGTCACCATGGCGTCCTTCCCCTCCTTGTCCATGCGGGGAAAAGCTGAGTCCGCCAGGGCGAGCAGCGCCGTGCGATAGGCGAGCGTTGTTTCTCCAACCACCTTTGGCCGATCGTAGAAATGGTGGTGACAGGTCGAGGGTGGCCCGAACACCTTAGCCATCAGGTGTAGCGCGGCCTGGAGCGTTGAGCGGGACGACCTCGGGGCAGATGTGAAGGCTGCAAGCGCGTCGTCGTCGAGCATCGCTGGCAGCGCGCGCAGGGCAGTGGTGTCGGACCACCCCGACATTTCTTGATGTGCGAGGAACCTTCGCTGGAAGGCTCCCCAGTCGCCCCCGTCTGCCTTGAACGCCGATAGCGCGGGCAATCGTTGCTGGAGGACTCGGTCGTCGTCGTCGTCGGAACGATTTTCCCGCGCGCCGCTGTGGTTGCAGAAAATGTCGGCTCCGTCTGCAGGCGCATAATGGAGAGCTCCTGCGCGCGCCGATGACGCGGGCTGCGCTGTGTGGAGATCTCTGGCCACGTGGTGTCCGCGCTTCCCGCCAATTGGTGGCGGACCCTCAAAAATGGCGCCAACTTCAAAACTTTTGGCGCGAAGCGCCTTCTGGCGGGATCCCTCCAGCCGCGCTCCCTCCTCCAACCCCGCAGCCGTCCCTCCGCCCGCTGGAACGGAGATTTCCGCCAAAATCGCAGCGGCGGCGAGCAGCAACTCCGCCAGGCGGGAGTGTGCGTCCTGTAGGCTGGTGTCGGAGGCAAGCGGAGCATCGGCCATCGCCGCGAAGTGCTGCATCGGCGGCAACTCCTCGTCCTCTCCTCCCGAGGTTGGTGTCTCCGGTACGCCGTCGTCCCCGATCTTGCTCGTGGGTACGGGTAGTCTTCCTTGTGTCCATTCTTCTTGAAGACAGGTTTACTTCTGACGCCAGTTGTAAAGTAGTAACTCGGCGGGAGACGACTTCACGGGTAGCACACTCTTTTATTTCACCAACTTATAGTTACAGGTGACTAACACCCACTTAGTTAACGGGTGACTAACACCACTCAGCTACACGGGTGACTAACACCCACTTAGCTACTCGGGTGACTAACACCCACTCAGCTACATTGACACGGGCTCTTACGCCCCGTAGCCTTCCGGAACACACCCGGCCGGGGTGTCCGTCTCGGCTCTGGGTACCACCTTCCCGACCCACACGGGCGTCGGACTACGGGTCCCCCAGTCTCGGCTCCGAGCCACACAGGGCCCCGGTCCTGACAAGGACGGCGGGACTAGGGGTCTCGGGCCACTACCTCCTCCACTCCGTCTTCGGTCTTCAACTGGTTAACAACAACCTCGAGTGCTCTCGCGCGTCCCCCTTTATGCACCTCCTGCGGACGTCGCTGAGAGCACCCATCCTATTTGACCAATCACTGCGCGCTGGCTACGATCCTCTTTTCCCACTTGTGTCAGCGCGCCTTACCACCGGCGCGCGCGTCCATACCACGCCCACATCGCGTGCCCAACCCCGCGCCCCGTGATCCATCACTGTCGGCGCACGTCAACACCACCACTACACATACACACGACACTACACACCTGCACTATACACTACACCACCATACTAAATTGACAACTCATTTCTTTAGAACTGCTTTTTTCTGTAGAGTTGTATGCCCTTCCCCCCCACACCTCCGTAAGCCACGGTTTGGCTGCGTACGGTGTGAATAAAAGGTTCAGACACGTTGCGTACGCACGCAGACACACGTACCTTTGTGCGGAACATGAGGTCGGACTGGTAAACAATCTGACTGCACGACAACCCGTCGTCATCGCCCTGGTTGTGTTTTAATCTTTCTTTGGCTAAGGGGGGAGGGGGGGAGACGAACAACAGAAATCCATAATACAGTTTTTTGGGCTAGATCTCGTAAATATATATAAGTGACCGCGATCAAAGCCAAGGAAAAAAAAACCTGCATTATGGATGATATTGTCGCGAAAGTCCTACGCGTTAAATTGAACAACGGAATTAATCGACGACGACGTGAACACTCGACACGGGGACCTCGTGAACACGGAGCAATCACTGAGCGTTGTTGCGCACAATGTAGAGACAACGTTCAATGGCAGCTCAGTGGAATTCTGCACAGCAAAGTAACATCATTAGCGAGATGCAGCATCTGCAACATGAGGTCGCCCTCGTCACACGAGCACATAAAGTGGAACCATAGAACACACAAACTCCACTCACATCACATCTGTAGAACAGGGGTAGAACACACAAACTCCACTCACTCTGTAGAACAGGGCTAGAACACACAAACTCCACTCACTCACTCTGTAGAACAGGGGTAGATCACACAAACTCCACTCACTCACTCTGTAGAACAGGGTAGAACACACAAACTCCACTCACTCTGTAGAACAGGGGTAGAACAACGCAAACTCCACTCACTCACATCTGTAGAACAGGGGTAGAACACACAAACTCCACTCACTCACCTCTGCAAAAACAGGGGTAGAACACACAAATTCCACTCACTCACTCTGTAGAACAGGGGTAGAACACACAAACTCCACTCACTCACTCTGTAGAACAGGGATAGAACACACAAACTCCACTCACTCTCTCTGCAGAACAGGGTAGAACACACAAACTCCACTCACTCTCTCTGCAGAACAGGAGTAGAACACACAAACTCCACTCACTCTGTATAACAGGGGTAGAACACACAAACTCCACTCACTCACCTCTGCAGAACAGGGGTAGAACACACAAACTCCACTCACTCTCTCTGTAGAACAGAAGTAGAACACACAAACTCCACTCACTCTGTATAACAGGGGTAGAACACACAAACTCCACTCACTCACTCTGTAGAACAGGGTAGAACACACAAACTCCACTCACTCTCTCTGCAGAACAGGAGTAGAACACACAAACTCCACTCACTCTGTATAACAGGGGTAGAACACACAAACTCCACTCACTCTGTATAACAGGGGTAGAACACACAAACTCCACTCACTCACTCTGCAGAACAGCGGTAGAACACACAAACTCCACTCACTTCACTCTGCAGAACAGCGGTAGTACACACAAACTCCACTCACTCACTCTGTATAACAGGGTAGAACACAAACTCCACTCACTCTCCTGTAGAACAGGAGTAGATCACACAAACTCCACTCACTCTGTAGAACAGCGGTAGAACACACAAACTCCACTCACTCACTCTGTAGAACAGGGGTAGAACACACAAACTCCACTCACTCACTCTGCAGAACAGCGGTAGAACACACAAACTCCACTCACTCTCTCTGTAGAACAGGAGTAGATCACACAAACTCCACTCACTCACTCTGTAGAACAGGGGTAGAACACACAAACTCCACTCACTCACTCTGTAGAACAGGGGTAGAACACACAAACTCCACTCACTCTCTCTGTAGAACAGGAGTAGATCACACAAACTCCACTCACTCTGTATAACAGGGGTAGAACACACAAACTCCACTCACTCACTCTGCAGAACAGCGGTAGATCACACAAACTCCACTCACTCTCTCTGCAGAACAGGGGTAGAACACAAACTCCACATGCTCTCAGCATCAAGACCGTCATGCCGGTTATTGTTGTTGTTGTCCTGGTTGTTGTTTTCTTTACCAGTGTGCCAGGCGCACGGCGTCCACCTCGTGCTGGTAGCTGGCGCTAGAGGTGACTTTGTGGAACACCTGGATGGGGTCCATGGAGTGGCCGCCCCACACCTTGGAGCCCAGCCGGTCGAGCAACAGCATGAGGCACTGCAGCGCCGGCCAGAACGCGCTGATGTTGCTCGCAGTACCATCTTCACATCCGCGGTGGCCGTGGTGGCGACAACAGCAGCAGCAGCAGCAGCAACAGCAGCAGCAGCGGAAGCAACAGCAGCAGCAGCAGCGGGAGCAACAGCAGCAGCAACAGCAGCAGCAACAGCAGCAGCAACAGCAGCAGAAGCAACAGCAGCAGCAACAGCAACAACAACAGCAGCATTAACAGCAGTGACAGCAGCAACAGCAGCAACAGCAGCAGCAGCAGGGTCGTGAGCAAGCTCCTCCACAACGCCGCTCGTCGTCGCTTGAAGCCACACGCCCAAGCACAACCCTGGACCAGTGCGCTCTTGTAAACCTTGGGACGACGCGAGTTCACCAAGCCCCCAAACGGAGTTCAAGACAACTCAAAACACCTCCTAACACGGAGGCACGGAGGAGTTAGCAGCAGCGCCTTTGAAGGCCGGCACGGCACTTGAGGGTAAGGTGGGTTTCCCAGCACCATGCCCGGCTCCCAGATGCAAAGACACAGACAGACAGAAACACAGACAGACACACGGACAGACAGACACACAGACAGACAGAAACACAGACAGACAGAAACACAGACAGACACACGGACAGACACACACACAGACACACAAACACACACACAGACATGAGAGAGAGAGAATTCCAGCATGTAGTGAAGTCGTCTCACCGGTGGGAGACATTTCTAGCGTGTGCATGATGGCCTGCACCAGGTCGGCCTTGCGGTCCACTCCCAGCAGCAAACTCTCCATGGCCTGCTCCTCCAGGAGACTCAGCAACATGCACACACCTGGAAACAACAACAACACACCTTAGGCCAACAGCAGCAACACTTGGGTAGAGAACAACAACAACACCATGGGTGCCACAAAACCGCCGTGGCCCCCTCTGCGCGGTGGGCAGCGGGGTGAGACGTTACCCAGCCAGTAGCTCTTGTGGTTGGTCGGGTCGAAGAGATGGCGCGGCAGCAGCATCAGCGCCAGCGACGAGTTTCCGCCGCCGCCGCCGTCTACTTCGGCGGCGGCCTCCAGGGCGGCGCTGTAGAGGTCGGGGTTGATGAACGGGTTGATGTCGACCACGCGCAGTAGGCAGCCGATCACCTCCGCCAGGTCGTAGTAGTCGTCCCGGCTGATGCGCCCCATTTCACGCGCCGTCAGCAGAGCCCACTTGCGCACCTGGCGGTGGTGGCGGTGTGTCCGCGTGTGTGACAGCGTGTGTGTCGGCACAATAGGGGGCACAGGTGGTGCATCAGCCAGTCATCTCGGTCATCTCAGTCAGTCGACCCGTGGCACCTGGGTCTGCCCCGTGAGCTCCTGCCAGCGGGCGTTCGACACCTCACGTGGCCTCAAGGTGCACATGGCCTGGCACAAGCGTCGTGGTGACGTCACCGCCACTTAGTGGTGAATGGCGGTTGTTGCTGTATGTGTGTGTGTAACAGAATGTCCGTGTGTGTGACAGTATGTCCGTGTGTGCGTGTGGCGGTGTGTCTGTGTGTCCGTGTGTGCGTGGCGTTGCGGTGGCAGTGGTGGTCGTGATGGTGGCAATGGTGGCGATGGTGGCAGTGGTGGTAGTGATGGCACTGGTGATGGTGACAATGGTGATGGCGAAGATTGGGGTGGTGGTGGTAGTGATGTGGGGAGTGTTTGTGCAGTGGTTAGCACGCTGCGCTACGAACTCGGCCACCCGAGTTCGATTCCCGCTTACGGCCAACACCAGTGACGATTATCTGAACCGATCCTGGGCCTCCTCTAGGTCAACTCAGCCTCAAATGAGTACCTGGTATGGTGTGTAGTAAACGTCACCACTGGAGAGACAAAGGTGGCCCCTAGCGTGGCGCTGGTCACCCACCCCCTCATGTCCCGTGCCGTTCTTCATAGGTGCTTGCTAGGAGCACTTGCCCCAATAGTCTGTTAAGGCTATACAGGGGGATCTTTGTCTTTGAGCGATCCCCACTCACCCAGAAGGGACCAGGATTCAATTCCCGATCAGGGAGCATTTCTGCGTGGAGTTTTGCCTCTTCTACCTCCGTTCTATAAAAGGACAGTAAAACCTTGGATTGCGAGTAACTTGGTCTGCAAGACGAGCAAATAAAAAAAAATGTACTTGATAAATGAGCGAGGTCTTGCAATACGAGTAGTATGTAGACGCTTTGTCTGCCGAGCGTCACGTGATCACAACTGAGCCGATGGTTCTTCTCTCTCTCTCGCTGCAGGATTGTGGGTAATCTTCTCCCATGCTCGGTCTCAGTCGGCGTGCCTCACTCGTATAAATAGTGAACTATTTGTCTTTTGTCAACATGACATTTTTTACTGATTGGCCGTGTGGGGTGGTGGAGGGTTACGACACATTTATAAATAACGTGATCTAACCCAAAAATCTTTATTATTGATATTTTACCAGGTAAAGTCCTACTGCTCTGTGCAGCTTCTTTTTTAGAAGCCCTCAACCTAACTATCACAAACGATAGCAGCTCAACAAACTGGCAGCTTATCATCATCATGACAACGTGGAAATGCAAAGCAGCAGCCGAAAAGTCGTAATCCGCACGACGTCGATTCTAAATGCGGATTTGTTGAAACAATTGAACACGTAACGCTATCGCGACCAATATTATCGACCAATTCGAGTACTGGGTTTACTCTGCAACACACAACTGGTTAGTGCTGTACTAGTGTAGTGGTGATACGCGCTGGGGTAGAGATTGTGTGCCAGCGCGTAGTGATTGGCTGTGTGTGTTGGTGACGCGCGCTGACGGTGAAGGATCAGGGGTCAGCGTGGGGTCGGGGGTTATGACGCAGTGATTGGCTGGGTATCGGTGACGTGCGCTGACAGCGATGGGATCCTGGGGCAAGCGCGCGGGGATTGGTCAACTAAGGGGGATGCTCACGTCGAGGTCCGCATACGCTCCGTCTCCCGAGAGCGGGGGCTATATAAGGTGGTGCGCACAGGCGCAAAGGGAGTTGGTGACCAGCGAAGACTGAAGACGGAGGAGGAAGAGATAGGGCCCTGCGGCACCTAGTCCCGCTGTCCTTGTAAGGGCCGGGGCTCTGTGTGACCCAGAGGCGGGACCCTGGGACCCGGGGCCGAACGTCCGTGTGAGGGCCGGCCCTCGGGACCCAGAGGTTGTGACCCACGCCCAAGCTGGGGTGGGCCTGGAGGCTCCACGGACGTTACGGGGCTGGAGTGCAGTGTGAGCATGCAGTGTGAGCATGCAGCGTGAGCCATAGTAACTACACGTGTCAAGTGGAGTGTGTAGTGGGAAAGGTAGTGACCACACGTGTCAAGTGAAGTGTGTGTAGTGTGAGGAATAGTGACCACACGTTGTATCGTGACAAGTCAAGGTTTAATAAAAAGTGTGCTACCCGTCAAGAGGTTTCCTGCTGTCATTCCGATACTTCACTAGTATAAACAATACACCACACTATAATTGTTAACGCAGTAGTGGGTTTACTCTACAACACACAACTGGTTAGTGCTATATTAGTGTAATGGGTTCCGGAGACACTTGTAGATGTAACTTCTTTATTACGATTCAACACTCCAACTCTCCAACAGTCCTGATACTCTGTTACAGCCTAGGTACACAGCCTAGGTACATAGCCTAGATACACTACTCTGGCTACGCTCTGGAACTCGCCTCACAAGGTCGTAGAGTCGGGAGTTCCAGAGTCCCACCACTGGCTCTCACAGCATCCCAGGGTCCTCCGATGGCTGGTCTTGGGTCTTGGGTCTTGAGCTATGACTGGCCCTGATCGTCCAGGGAGCTCCGCTTTTATGCCCAGTCCCCAACGAGGGGTGGGGCCGTGTGCGCCCCCAGATATCCCACAGAGCACACACAGCCCCCCCCTTTGGCGGCGCCAAGGGAATTAAGCGCCTGGGAACTCAACGCCTGACGCCAAGAGGCTTAAGCGTCTGACCCGCCTGAGAACCCACCGCCTGGTGCCAAGAGGCTTTAGCGCCTGGCCCACCCAGGGTCCCAGAGCCCCCAGCAGCCCCTCCCTTCTTATGTCACTACATTACCCCCCTCTACGTAGCCTCCAACCGTCCCGGCTGTCAATAATTAGAAAGTTTAAATTAACGAAAGGGAGAGAGAGAAAAAAAATACGCGAGCCTCAACAGGAAAAGAAAAGAGAACAATAAAGCAACCATAAATACCATAACCAACCTGTACAACTTTACACTATATACAAGCATCAATCAACAAAAAGGTGAAGCAATGACATGTGAACAAACGACCCGCGGCACACCTAGCCCTCCTCGGGATCCGCATAGAAAACGGGGAATTAACAACAACAAATATACAGATTCCGACGCGTTGGATGCACAACCAACACCGGTAATCGAACCGAAATCACACAATCACCGCATGGATGGCAGGGATCCACACCACCCTGCCATCCTCCCATCCGTCAGGTGGTGAGAAGGCGAAGACCAACATGTCTATCACCCCTCTACACACACTTATCCGGACGTCTGTCTACGTCCCGGGTCGAGAAGTCGTACTTCAGGGCCGACCCATGTACTGGGCAAAGAAGTCGCACTTCAGGGCTGCTCCAGTATCTACATTTTAAAATATATATATAAAATTGACATGACACAAACAAAATAAATCTGCCTGCTCCTGTCCATAAATGGTGGCCGCACGCACGAACCGCATCTCCAAAAGGCATTCCGTGCTTGCGTCCCAGCAGCCCTCAATGAGGACCACCACCGACATTACATGTCAACCGTTAGCACCCCCCGCCTTTCCAACATGGCGCCTCCATCCTAAAACTGCGCACGTCGGCCATATCGGGGGGGAATTTTTGTGTTACCACCCCACCCGCCTTTCCGACGCGGCATCACAACCAGTAGCACGCGTCGGCCAAATCGGGGGGCTTCAACCCAGTCTCTCTCCAAGACTCGCATCGCAGCATATAGCTGTACCGACCGAGCTGAGACCCAATCTCTCTCCAAGACTCGCATCGCAGCATATAGCTGTACCGACCGAGCGGAGACCCAATCTCTCTCCATGACTCGCATCGCAGCATATAGCTGTACCGACCGAGCTGAGACGACCCAATCTCTCTCCAAGACTCGCATCGCAGCATATAGCTGTACCGACCGAGCTGAGACGACCCATCGTTCACTCCCTGCACAACATGCACCCTAACAACTGAGGGATACAGTCCCAACGTAACGGGACAACTACACCTGAACACCACGAATCTCCAGCCCACTGTTTCAATGCGCCTCGGAGTGTTTCAATCTCCGGGCCGTCAGGGCGAGCCTACTGCTCCAGACGCACCACGGAGGGTCTCAACCTCCGGGCCGTCAGGTCAAGCCGTCAGCTATTCCATGACGGGACCACACTCTCCGAGCCCTGTGAGTGCACAGCCCACTAGGCTAGACATGCCACGGAGTGTTTCAATCTCCGGGCTGTCAGGTCAAGCCGTCAGCCATAGCATAACGGGACCACACTCTCCGAGCCATGTGAGCACACAGCCCCCGAGGCTAGACATGCCACGGAGTGTCTCTATCTCCGGGCTGTCAGGTCAAGCCGTCAGCCATAGCATGACGGGAGAACAACTCTCGTGTTAGACACGCAACACCCGCTGGGCCATCCTGGTCAGGATCTGCACCCCAAGATATTTGAGAGCCAGCATGACAATTCCAAATCCTTGGCAGCATGTCACCATCTCAAGATAAATGCCCCATACAGTATATACATCGTTAACAATGACAGCACAAGCTATACATTAACAATCACGAACAAAGCTCAATACAAACCATACATTGTTAACAATCACAAGCAAAGTTTCACACATACATTGACAACACTCACGAGCGAAGCTCCACACAGTTTACCCAACAACAGTCACGACTCCCCGACGACAACGAAGAAAATATCAACAAAAAAATCATTAATCCGGAGCGCGTAAATGTACGAAGTGTCAGGGGCCTGGTCTCCCGACCTCCAACCTTTGGCCAGAGCAGCAAAGGCGGCGACCAGCATGTCGGTCGATGTGCCGGCCCCGGCGCCGGTTACAGTAAGAATGGTGCCCTCACTGTCCGGTCGCAGCGCTGATGACACGGTATGCTAGGTTGAAGCCAGCTGTCGTCCGGCAGTGAAGGTCGCAGCGCTGATGACGCGGCATTGCTAGGTTGCAAACAGCTGTCACCCGGCGGTGAGGGA